AAAGGAAGTGAGGGAGGGAGCTGTGCAGCAGGTGTAAAGGTCCGGAGGTAAGAGTATACCTGGTGTGTTTGAGGTAGGACATTGAGGCTAGAGTAGCAGGCGTAGGGAAGACGGAGTGAGTGGTAGGAAATAAGGTCAAGGAGCTGATGGTGACATTGCCTTCTCTCTTAGTGAAATGGGGACCAATAGAGAGAATTTTGAGCAGAAGAGAGACATGATCTGATTCCTGATTTGACGTCAGGCTACTTTGTTGAATAGACTGGGTATAAGGGCAGAAGCAGGTAATCCAGCCAGAAGGCCACTGCCATAATCCAGGAGAAGAATGAATGATTGTAATGTCGCCGAGGGTGGTGGCAGTGAGGTTGGTGAGAAATGGTCAGGTTCTGGATATACTTTCAACATAGATCCAACAAGATTTGCTGATAGAATGGACAGAGGGTGTGAGAGGGAGAAACATGTTGAAGATGACAGCAAGGTTTTGGCCTGAGTGATGGGAGAATGGAGTTGCCATTAACCAGATGAGGGGCATTGGAGGAAGAGCTAGTAGTTTGAAGGGACTATCAGGAGAACTCAGTTTTGCTTAAAATGCCTGTTAGATATCCAAATAGAGATGTTTTTAGGTCTGGGGTTCAGGGAAGATGTCCTGGCTAAAGGTATAAATTTATGAGACATTATCATATATGGGACTTAAAGACATGAGACCTTGGTGATCACCCAGAGTGTGTGTGTAGAAAGAAAAGAGCCATCTGAGGACTGACGTCTGGGGCACCTCAGGTACCACACATTGTTATTTTAGAACAGCTTTTCTGAGAACGCATGTGTTCTGCTAACACAGTTTGAGATACACTGATATAAAAGAACGTATCTTGACAATTTTTAGTTGCTTAGTGACAGAGCCAGACATAGTAGGTTCTAGAATAAGCCTTTAAAACCTCTCTAGCCCTGGCTTGTGTGGTTCAGTGGTTAGTGTTGGCCTGCACGCTGAAGGATTGTGGGTTCAGTTCCTGGTCAAGGACACGTACCTGAGTTGTAGGTTCGATCCCAGTCTGGTTTGGTGCATGCAGGAGGCAACCAATCAATGAGTCTCTCTCACATTGGTGTTTCTCTCTTTCTCTTTCCCCCCTCCCCCTCCCTCCTTTTCACTCTCTCTAAAAATCAGTGGAAAAATAATCTTGGATGAGGTTTAACAAAACAAACAAACAAACAAACAAACAAACACATCCTTTCTAATGTTCCTGGGCATTTGAAGTCCTTTTGGTCTGATTTTAGTGCTATAGAGCTCATTTCTTTCATTCAAAATATTTAGTACAGCTGAATTATGTGAAAAGCAGGTAGGTGTTCAGTACAAGGAGGGATAAACTGTTCTAACCCTCAAGAGACTTGAAGTATGATTCAGAAATGCGCACTCTGGAGTTCCCAAGAAAGTGGGCAGAGATGGCAGCAAGACTTGGGCTGAGCATTGAAGGATGTTTAGAAAAGGTAGAAATGAGAGAGTGTTTGGTCATGATTGTGGGATAAGTACATAAAATAGAAATGGAAATGATTAGACTACCTGCCTAACTAGAGCAAAGAGAGAATGCTGGAGAGAAGGGGGGATGAAATCTGATTATCACCAAACTTCGTGCCCAGTGTTGGTAATGGGAACTCTGGGAAGAGTGTGAGGAAGGCTACTCTAGCAATGACACTGTGTTCTGTGCTTGGGCCACTTGTCCATATCCCACCCTCCACTCTGTGTGAATAGAGAACAGTTCATTACTGGAACTTCTTTAGGCCATAATAATGTGTGTGTTTTTTTAATAACAATTTGATGTTTATAAAGACTCTTCCCATGGCTTCTCTTTTCATATCTGTACAATGTAAACATAATTTATTTTTAATATAAGCATTTCTTGGAGGATTAATGGTATAAGCTTTGGAAATATCCCTTACTGCTTAGAAGTAATCATATTTCTAACATCTAAAAATATATATTTTGCTTTTGATTTTTTAATTTTGGTTTCCATTAAAGTATAGTCCTAACTTTCTTGTTTTTGTTTGTTTGTTTTGTTTGTGTTGGTATTTTGGTTTTTTTTTTTTTGCGTCATAGCTTTCTTCTTATATAAAGTACCAAATTTAAGAAAAAAAATCCCATAAAAATACTACTGAGGGTAATGGAGTTTTAGGGATCAGTTTTCATTATATTTATTTTCCCTAATTAAGAACTATTTAAACAGAAATAGAAAGTAAAGTCTTACTGCTACCTTTTTATTAATGAGGAAAATTGGGCCATGTCTACCACTTCCTATCTCAGCAATAATCCAGGGCACAAAATACTAAGTGCACTGGTAACTTTAGACTTGAGAGGAGAGGCATTTATATTGATAATATATCACAAGTCTGCCTTTCATATGGTCCTGCAAAATTCTTATCTCTATCCTTCCGTGATTATTGAAATGTTTTCCTTGAGCTCTGGGAGGCATTTCCCACTCACTGAAGGATGCTTAAACAACCCTTTTCTAAGTGGGTGTTGGGAAGGGTAGGGAAGTAAGGAATAACACCTACAAGATGTAATTTCCTCAAAAAATTAAAAATGGCACTGCCATTTGACCCAGTGATTCCATTTCTAGGAATATATCCCAAGGATCCCAGAACACCAATCAGAAAGAATTTATGTACTCCTATGTTCATAACAGTGCTATTTGCAATAGCTAAGATCTGTAAGCAGTCCAAATGCCCGTCAATAGATGTGTGGGTAACAAAATTGTGGTACATTTACACAGTGGAATACTATGCAGCTGTAAAAATGAAGAATCTATTAGCCTTTGAGACAGCATGGAGGGCCCTGAAGAGTATTATGCTAAGCAATATAAGCCAATCAGAGAAAGACAAGTATCACATGATCTCACTTATATGTAGAATTCAATGAACAAAATAGATCCAGAGACATTAAAGTATGCACCAGACTGACAATTTCAGAGGAAGGCAGGAAGAGATTAACGAAAGAACTTATATGCATGTATGCATAATCCATGGACACAGACAATAGTGCAGTGAAGGCCTGGGGAAAGGTTGGGAATGGAATGGAAGCAGTAAAAAAGGGGCATCTGTAATACTTTCAACAATACAGATAAATTTAAAAAAGATAAGCTTTCAAAGTGACTGTCAAGCAACCTCCACTCTCCAAGAAAACCGCATCTGTACCATTGTACTCAAACTCCCACATGCTTCCCCCTCTTTCTCACCATCAGCTCACTTGTCTTTCACTGCAAAAATGTGAGTCTTCAGAAACCTCATCTTCACCCTCCAGATCTCCCTAATACCCCCCTCTGTACCGATATACTAGTCTGCTTTCCCTAATGAGGATTGATAAACTCTGTGTTCCTATCTGAAATAATCCCTCTACTTGTGATGTGGATGGTCTCTTCTCAAGAGTTCAGGGTTGCTTGAGTGGCTTTTGAAGTTATCCTCTATCTCCACAGCAATAATCTGTCTCTACTACATCATTCTCATTAACATTTACTAGTGTTATCATATTTCCCACTTAAAAAATCCCCTTATTTTATGCCTTCTTTCACCTGTCTGCCTATTATTTGGCTTTTCTTGGTAGCAACATTTCTCAAAATAATTAATGTGTACTCCAGGTCTCCATTTCTTCACCTCTCATTCTTTCCTGGGCTCCCTGATGTCCACTGTAATAGCTCTTGTCAAGGTCACCCAGCACCTCCATCTTGCCAAATTCATCGGGTCCATTCTTAGTTCTGATCGTATTTGAGCTTTCAGCAGCCTTTGACTCAGCTTGATATGCTTTCCTTATTGAGCCCTTCCTTCACCTGACTGTTAAGCCCTGGCTTTCCTCCTACCTCACTGGCAGCTCTTCTCCAGTGTCCTCTGCCAATAACTCCTCCCATTCCTATAAAAGGTAGGGTGGCCCAGGATTTAGATCTTTTCCTTCTTCTCTATCTACACTCACACCCAAACTTGTGTGATCTTGTCGTGTGGTTGTAAGCATTGTTTATATGGTGATATCTCTGAAATGTAGTCTTTCTACCCTACCTTTTCACTTGGGCTCTTATTAGGCAAGTCCCACTTAAAACACCCAGAACTCCTGACTGTGGCCTTCAAGGTCCTTACCATCTGGTCCCTCCCCCACCCCCTTACCTATGCAACTCCATTTGTTGCTATTTTTACCCCCATTATTTCTTCAGCTGCCATCACACTTGCCTTATTATTTTCTCTTTCCCATCCCAGAGGCTTTGCACTTGCTGTTCTCTTACCTGGAATGTTCTTTGCCTAGATCAGTGATGGAGAACCTTTTGAGCTCAGCATGTCAGCATTTTGAAAAACCCTAACTTAACTCTGGTGCCGTGTCACATATAGAAATTTTTTGATATTTGCAATCATAGTAAAACAAAGATTTATATTTTAATATTTATTTTATATATTTAAATGCCATTGAACAAAGAAAAATCAACCAAAAAAATGAGTTCAGGTGTCACCTCTGACACGCGTGTCATAGGTCCGCCATCACTGGCCTACATCTTTGCATGGCTTGTTCCCTGACTCCAGCATCAAATGTATTTCTTCAGCAGCCTTTCCTGACCACCCTACCTAATGTACCCTTTTACTGGTTTTATGTCTTTTTTTCTTAGCACTTATCATGACTTCAAATCATATTTTATTCCTCCCCTGCTGGACTATGAATCCAAGCAGGACATGTGATTAGTTGATCCTTAAAACTGTATTCCTAGGGCTTAGATCAGTGCCTGGCCCCTTCTAGACTCTCAACACATGGTTATTGAGTGAGTGAATCAATAAAGGAATTGTGTTATATGTAAGTCATGTGATTATACCTTCAGTATTTTTTAATCCAATGTACAGAGAAATGTTTAATAGAATGGTTAAACATAATAGGAAAATGGCTGTAGCTAGGTCCTGTTGCATATAAAGGAATTCCCTCGAATCATATATGAACTATTTCTTCTTGTCCCCTCTTCTGCGTTTTCTTGACTCTTCCCACGCAGCTGAAGAACAAGTTCATGAAAAAACTGCCCCGTGATGCAGAAGCCTCCAACGTGCTTGTCGGGGAGGTCGACTTCTTGGATGCGCCTTTCGTTGCCTTTGTTCGGCTGCAGCAGGCAGTCATGCTGGGTGCCCTGACTGAGGTCCCTGTGCCCACCAGGTAAGCTGATCCCTGACCTGCTGGGGCCTACAGTGTGGTTATAGGAAAGCCTCCCCTTTCAGGCTAGAGAATCAATAGACTGAGGATACATCCAGAGAGAGCATATTGGATAGATTTAATATGAAATAATGGTTTAATCTGACTTTTATACCATCATATGACTAGGCACTTATATAGTACTAATCTTAATAACCAAACAATTTCTTGGACCATGTACTGGTTTTCTTCTTATGGATTAGCCTACTTAATCCTCACAATAATATTTTTTAATTATAAACTGTAGGTATATGGATTTAAAACTGAGTCTGAAAGTTTAAGTAACTTGTCCAAACACATACAGATGATAATTGGTTCAGAGGTCAGAGTTGCTTTCATTTGTTCTATTTTTTATCAGAAAATTAATAGTGTGCGCGTGTGCGCACACACACACACACACACATATATGTGTGTGTGTGTATGTGTGTATATACATATACACAGACATGTAAAAATTATAAAGCTGTACCCTTAAATTTGCACACTTTACTGTTATGAATTATGTTGCATAAATTTTTATTTTAAAAAGATGCATATTATTGTTATTATAATCATGTATTTAATATACTGCATGGTATCTTCAAAGTCATCCTGTTTATTTCCCTCTGCAACTGCTCTAATAGAGTTAGGAAGCTTGACTTAAGGAATGCAATAGGTGAATAGGAATTAATGCTTCTCTTAAACTTGTGCTGATAAGAGTTTGAAGAGAAGCTTGTAATCTTCAAATTGATGTCTGAAAATTATCACATGAATAGCAACTTTTCAATGTGTGTGTGTGTGTGTGTGTGTGTGTGTGTGTGTGTGTGTTTCCTGGGCCCCAGCGCAAGGACAGGTGACATCTCTCTTCTTTAGGTTTCCCAGGTGAGGAGGAAGGGCTATGGATCCTTCTTAGTGATCTCAGATGGTCTGAGCATGATCCACGGACAATGACTAGGGGCTCAAGGTTAGTTTTGAACCAAGTTGACAGGAAAATTAGGAGAACATTCCTTTTACAGCCTCCCAAAGCATAGATTACAGGACATTCTTTCTCGTCATACATATATATTTTTCTCATTTTTATATTTCTTAGACCTTTCAAATGGGAATAATACCTGACATTAGTAGGCAATAATTGGAGAAATAGCTGAGGAAAGGAGATGACCATTGCTTATTCAATTAATGGGATTTTCATGATTTATGCTTTCTGTAACTTAGCTTTTGGCTTGAAAACACACCAGCAGAGCCTTAAAGTTCTATCAGAGCAATCACCTGGTAAAAGCTGGCTGACTCAGACCATGGCTGAAGGCCAGCTCGCGTGTCCCTATGGTTTTATTTATGTATTTTTGGACAAACTTTACTGGAGCTCAAAAGAAAAAAAAAGCCAAGAAGTGTTAAGTTGCTCTTGCTTTTTCATTTCTGTTATTTTTCTTTAAAAGCTACAAATAAAAAATATTTCCAAAGGCTTTTTATTTAACAGTAGTATGAGTTTATGGAGCAGCAAATTGTGACCATTTTTGTGTTTTCTTATCATCTGCTTCTGCCTGTCTCGTTCTTTTCCTCTGTACTGGAGCGTGGCAGGAGTCTAGAGGTGAAATACAGCATCATTTGAATGAACAAAAGGAGCCCAGTAATTCAAGGGAATGTAATTCAATAATGTCATCAAACTATTTCAGGGCAATAAACTGAACAATCCTAAAATGTTAACATTTTCCCAGGAAATAGATTTATTCATTTGCTATCCCCTGAACCAGTACAAGCTGGAATCACAGAATAGGGGGTCTCATTCGCTTTTGGTGTGTATGAGTAATGTGGGGCCACTGACAATGGCTGCATCCTGTGAAATCCAGTCAAGGTAATCCCACGAGGAATGTGGCTGTCATGTGTGGGATGGCCTCTGCACCAGACATGTGCTCTCACATGCACGCCGCCCTGTTGTACTGCAGGGAGACCCAGAAAGCCTGGTTTGGGGCACATCTTGTCATGATCATTTTTCCATTTGAAGAAAAGTTATGCTCTTATGCTTATTATTTTTATTACTGTGCACCTTTTAGGAAGTGTAACTCTAAGAGTTTCCTTGTGTGGAGTTCACCAGTTATTTGGTTGATCTATTTTAGCTTTCTGTTTGTAGCTGGACTACTACTAGCTGAGTGATGTGATCTACTTAGGGGCCCTTCTTGCCATCCATGTGAAAGCAAACAATTTTTTTTTTTTTTTAGTTTTGGTCACTTGGTTGTATACGTTTACGATTTTCCTAGCATCTTGCACACACTTTGCTCACTGTCATCTCTATTCATAGAGGCTGCTCCTCACTCACATTCATGGGCTCTGTGGGGGATAACTATTATTATTCCCACTTTATAGTTGAAAGATAGAGGCAAAAGGAAGATCCACTGTCAATGCTAGAAATTGGACTGCAGATTTCTGACTCTAAGGCTAGGGTTTTAGGGAGAATCTAAGGAGATATCTATAATGGACTGAAATAAAATACTTTAGGGTGTTCCCCTGAAAATTAATAAAAGTCCTTGAGCAGTTTGTCCTTTCTGACCTTGATTTTCATATCTAAGGCAAATTCAGTGAGTTGTACTCCCTAGAATGTTTACCTCTTTAGTTTCACTGTAAGTCAATATATATTTTATGTTATAAATTATTAATTACCTAAAAAAAGTAGTTTACACTTAATTGTTAAAAACCATAAAATATCCTATTAGAGGTCTTGGGATGGAGGTCCCACTAGTTCAATTCTGTCTAGTCCAACAACCCAATGCTACTGCTGTTTACATGAGTCATGTGGTTGGTGAGGTTAGTTTGTGGTCCTCATGAGTGTATTGTGGAAGCTACAGTGCAGCCACATTTTCCAAAGCTGCTAAATATGAATAATGGGTTATTTGGTTCACTGTTGTTTTGAGAGAAGGGAGTAAAGGATTGGTAAAAGCTGAGTTTATTCTAGAAATAGCTCTGATATATCAGGAAGGAGAGGGTGCACATCCTTTTTAAAAAGATTGAGTGGTTTAGGAAGGCTGGCTCTTTTTCTGATATTATGCTCTGTTTCTGGCTATAATTATTTTGTGAATGTGAGTGTAGTCCATTGGTTCCGGACACAGATCATCTGGCACTTGTTTTTGTTGTGGAAAATGCTACAGGCATCCTCCTCCCCAGGCACAGTGAGTTATAGGAAAACGCTCACAGGAGTAGAAGTGCCTCGTGAAGATCCAGAGACGACGAGGCACAGTTAAAAATTAGAACTATGACTTATTTCTCGTTATGAGTGAATCAAAATAACTCAGTAACATAAATTAATCTTCCCCCCACCCCAAACTGTCAACGTGGTCTGTGCCCTTCCAGCCACACAAATGTGATGTTTACTTGAATTTGTTAATAAAGAAAAAAGCTTCTGGTTAAAAATAACATCTGTCCATTGACAAAAACCAGCTTGGGTCATGAAAGGAGTTTTCAGTACATTATAAAAGCTGAGCTTGGCAAGATGTGCTTCTGTCATAAAAGTTGTAACAGCTTTCACTTCTTTGAGGTTAAAGGGGAAAGAACATCTTTCAAGCAGAAGGAACTTGAACTTGATGAGTGGTTCTGTTAGTTTTCTTTTTTTTAAATCTTTCATCCCCATTTTGACAATACAGCCCAAATTAGACACTTCTGAAGGGTCTCATTCCTGCAGATGAAATTCTCAGCCTGAGGGGATATTTTCTGCTACTGATAGATGGTCAGATTTTCTCTTTTTCTCTATAGCATTTGAAGGAGATGGATTTATTGAATGATTCCTGACTGGAGTAATGTGAAAATTTAACTGATATATAGCATGTTATTTCTATTTAGTACTTGGTGACTTTTCATACACTGAGTGGCCAGATTATTATGACCACCTGATGTTTATAGGCAAATTAACTATAATTTCACGCTGAAGTTGCTAGAGGGCCAGACAATTATAAGTAGGGAAGCAGCTTGTTTACCACAACAGGAGAAGTGATTTTTTTCCTGAAGATATGGATAAACAACGCAATTTAACAGCCTTTGAACATGGGATATATATTATTATGAGTGGCCAGATTATTATGACCACCCCATCAGTGCTTCGTTGGGCCACCTTTTGCCTTCAATACTGCAATGATTCTTCTTGGCACTGACTCCACGAGATGTTGAAAGGTGATGCGAGGAATCTGACACCATGTCTGATGAATGCATTGCCCAGTTCTGTGAGATTTGATGGTTGTGGAACCAGCTGCCTGATGGCTCTTTTAACTTCGTCCCACAAATGCTCAATTGGATTGAGATCTGGTGATTGTGGGGGCCGCCTAAGCAAGGTAACGTCTCCCTCATGTTCTTGAAACCACTCCTGAACAATACTAGCACTGTGGCATGGCACATTGTCTTGTTGGAAGAAGCCATCTCCATTGGGATATGCCATCACCATAACATGCCAGGAAAACATGTCCCAAACCATAACACTGCCCTCACTAGCTTGAAGGGTTGTACTCATGCATGTGGGGTGCATGCTTTCATGCTGTTTCCACCAAATTCTCACTCTGCCATCTGCATGATGCAACTGGAAACGTGATTCATTGGACCACATGACTTTTTTCCAATGCTCGCCTGTACAATCCTTGTATTCCTGTGCGAATTCCTGAAACAGACTCATAGATACAGAAAACATGTCGACATGTCTGAAGTTTTACCTTGGTAACTGCAGACAGCAAAGGTATTCGAACAGGTCTTCGGCTTCCATATCCCATACAATGCAGTGTACAGCTAATTTGCCTACAAACGTCAGGTGGTCATAATAATCTGGCCACTCACGTTCAAATATATCCCACATTCAAAGGCTATTAAATCATGTTGTTTACACATATCTTCAGAAAAAAACTTCTATTGTTGTGGTAAACAAGCTGCTTCCCTATTTATAATGGTCTGGCCCTCTAGCAACTTCAGCGTGAAATTATAGCTAATTTGCCTACAAACATCAGGTGGTCATAATAATCTGGCCACTCAGTGTATATTTTTTAAAT